ACATAACCAAATCATGGGAGTGATATCCCATCATATTTGCAGGTCCTTCCCACACTCAAGAGAAAAAGAATTATATATGGGCATGGGTCACTGGGAGTCATCTTAGAATTGACCTACTGCTGGGGCGCCTGGGTGGCTCAGTTGGTTAAGCGACTGCCTTCGGCTCAGGTCATGATCCTGGAGTCCCTGGATCGGGTCCCGCATCGGGCTCCCTGCTCAGCGGGGAGTCTGCCTCTCTCTCTGACCCTCCCCCCTCTCATGCTCTCTATCTCATTCTCTCTCTCTCAAATAAATAAATAAAATCTTTAAAAAAAAAAAAAAAGAACTGACCTACTGCAGCTACTAAGACAGATATAAATGTAAATTTCCATTGTACTATATATTTACAATCCATGCACTCATTGGTATGTAAGATACACCTCAAAAGATAAAGAAAATAGCAAGGGGCTACAAAGATGTTAATGTTTATTCTATTGCTATTAGATCTAGTTTTATCGCAAACTCTCAGGAAGCTCTCCCAAAAACATGAGCTCTAGTTTAGTTGTTGGTGAGGTTAGAAGCCATCAAGGCTTCTATTAGGCTGTGGTGGTCTCGGGACCACAGTACAGGAACTAATGAAAAGTCAACAGCAATTCTGAACTGGGAAAGCCTGTCAGAAACCAGTCTTGTCCCTGTGATTCCTTGTTTTTGACTGGAATTATACCCATGCTTGGGGGGAAGCCATTGGCTTCCAAAAATGCATTGAGACAGGTAATCTCAATTCAGCAGACTAAATATGCATCTTAGAATAATTTTTTTTTTTTTGGTTTTTTGTTTTTTTAAGATTGTATTTATTTGAGAGAGAGAGAATGAAAGACAGAGAGCATGAGAGGGAGGAGGGTCAGAGGGAGAAGCAGACTCCCTGCCGAGCAGGGAGCCCGATGCGGGACTCGATCCCGGGAGTCCAGGATCATGACCTGAGCCGAAGGCAGTCGCTCAACCAACTGAGCCACCCAGGCGCCCGCATCTTAGAATAATTTTAACTTGCAGGAAAATCAGTTAACTAATACATACAAAAAACTGATAAAGAAAAATAAAACCTTCAAAAAACAGGATTCATAACTAAAATAATAAAAGTGGAAAGACTATAAACCCTTCCAAGGCCAGGGCAAAGAAAATACAAGATGGGCCTGAAATATCTTGTGGTGCTAGAAAGTAAGGAAGTGCTTACAGAAAAAAAAAAAAAAAGGATGACAGCATGTCAAAGGGGCACAGGAGCCAAACCGAAAAAATTCCCAATTCCCAAAACTGGAGCACTTACAGCAACAAAATAAATAACAACTGAATTCGGTAATAACCCAAAGAATGAAATAAACAATCATGAGTCATAAGCCTATAATGACATAATTAAATAAATAGGAAAAAAGGGACAACTCTTCCTTACAGAAAAATTCCAATTAATAAATGTCTTAGGAATGAGAGATTAAAAAATCAGAATTACATGCCACAGAAATAATTGCTGCTGGCAAGATCTACTAATGAATGCGAAAATGAGCGGGTGAAAGTGTAAGCAGAAACAGGATGTTTACATCCTGTTTTAATATAGAGACATCTGGAGAGTAGTTTCCTGTGGCTACTATAATAAGTTACCACATATTTGGTGGCTTAAAACAACACAGATTTATTCTCTTACAGTTTTGGAGGCTAGAAGTCCAAATTCAGTATCACTGGGCGAAAACCAAGGTATCAGGAAGGCCATACTCTCTCAGGAGGAGACAGGAAACAATGTGTCTCCTCGCCTCTTCTAGAGCTGTGTCCTCTGGCTCATGGCCCCTTTCTCCACGTGTTAAGCCAGCAGCACGGCATCTTCAAGTCTCTCTCTGCTTCCGTTGTCATACTGCCTTCTGCTTCTGTATGAAATCTCCCCCTGCCTTCCTCTTAAAAAGGACACTTGTGGTTGCATTTAGGGCCCACTCAGATTACCCAGATAATCTCTCCCCGTCTCTAGACCCTTAACTTAATCACATATACAAAGTTTCCTTTGCCATCCATATACAACAACATTCACAAATTTGAGGGATTAAGATTTGGATATCTTTGGGGGCCATTATTCAGCCTACCACAGTCTCAAAGTTATCTGTCCAGAATACAGAATAAATATAAAGTGAAGAGAACCCTGACAGACACCACTTGAACCAAGCGATCAAAGTTAACATCATTAACAATACATATCAGCATCATGTTCCCCTTTGCTATTCTTCCAAAAATGCATGATCTCATTTCAATCATCAGAAAACATTAGACAAATCCAAAGTTAAGAAGCATTCTAAAAAATATCTGACCAACGCTCTTCAAAGTTTAAAAGTCATGGAAGATAATGTCATAGAGGGAAGACTAAGAAAACACGGTGACTAAATGCAACGTGGGATCCTGCACTGGATTCAAGAACAGAAAAAGAACATGAGTGGAAAAACTGATGAAATCCAAATAAACTCTACAGTGTAGTTAATAATATTATACTGATGTTAAAATCTTAGTTTTGAAAGTATTACATGGTTATATAAGATGTCAGCATAAGGGGAAGCTGGGTGTAGGCTATACAGGAACTTTGTACTATTTCTGTAACTCATATGTAAGTCTAAAATTATCTGAAAACAAAGTGTTAAAAAAGAGGAAGGAAGGAATGAAGGGAAGATAGGGAGGGAGGAAGAGAAGAATGTGAGCCCATGGTTTAGGGTCTTTGAGTGCACCCTGCTGGTCACTAGTGTGAACTCTCCTAAACTGGGTCTCTGATATTCTTAAAGCAATTGCCCTTCTCTTTTCTTTCCAATTAAGTACCTGTTTGAGACGGTCTTCTCAAAGCCAGGCTATTCTGCTCCTACTGATTCATGGTTCATTTCTTCCTCTAAAATTCTATCAAGGGGATGGGACACCTAGGTGGCTCAATCAGTTAAGCGTCTGCCTTCGGCTCAGGTCATGATCCCAGGGTCCCAGGATCAGGCTCCCTGCTCAGCGGGGAGCCTGCTTCTCCCTCTATCTGCCACTCCCCCTGCTTGTGCTCTCTACCTCTCTCTGACAAATAAATAAATAAAATATTTTTAAAAAAAGATTTCCTTTCTAAAGACAAAAAAATCCATCAAGCGGAGCCTGGGTGGCTCAATGAGTTAAGCGACTGACTTCGATTCAGGTCATGATCTCAAGGTCCTGGGATCCAGCCCAGAAAAGGGGCTCCCTGCTCAGCGAGAAGTTTGCCTGTCTCTCTCCCTCTGCCCCTCCCCACACTCATTCTCTCTCTCAAATAAATAAACTCTTTAAAATAAATGAATAAAAAATAAAAATCCATCAAAAGTCTCACTGGTTACTAAATCTGTCTCCTCTCTAAACAGAACAGTACATCACAAACCCACAACAACTTCTTGGTTAACACCAAGGCCTGTCAGGTGCAGGTAAACTATCCAAAGCTCCACCCACTGACGATCCCACTAGATACCCAGGGACAAGGCAGGCAAGCCAGAAGGCTGGGACTGTGGCAGAGAAGGGCAGTAGGACAGGGTCAGACACGAAAGAGTGTGAGGAGTGCAGAACTGTGGGGGATAATATGGAGGGGGGGGGCCCAGGCAAATAAAAGTATTTCCATTAATGATGTTTCATATATGAATCCTTTAAAAAATCCTTTAAGTAAATCAAATACAGCCTTTCGTTAGGAAAAGATTGGGATTTCTTGTGACACATGATGGCAGGGACCAGAGATCCAGGCTCGCAGTGTCCTGGCTGCTGCTGGGCCACAGACAAATTTTATGTAGCCCACAAAATATTTTAAAGGTTTTCAATTGGATGCCAATGTTTTGAAATCTGGAGATACTACATTTAAAGATTAAAGATTAAGACTTCTGATTTTTTTTCATGGAAAAAAAACCCTATAGATCTGGCCAAGCTGTGTCTACATTTCTGGACAGCAACAAAGCAGAAGGAACCGCAGAGAGGCTGTCCTTGCTCTCCAGTTCCCTCCCCATCAATCACACAAGGCATGCCTGTGACTAACACCCACCCTGACTACATTCATAGGTATAATATACCTAGGCCTGATGGCATCTGTGTTTGCAGTATCTGTGTGGGAGACTATACATCCATGCTTTCAACAGCTAAAAGGACCTTGCCTGCCATCTGCATAAGCTTCCTTAATAATATTCATCCTTTCTTCCTAAAAGTCACCATAGCTATTTACATCTATTCTGCAAAAACAGAACGTATACATTTACTCTTCAGAATTTTGTTGTCTTACTTTTAACGATATCCTATACCAATGGATCAAAATCACCTAGAAGGTTTGTTGAAACACAGATTGCTGGGCCCCACACCCCAGAGTGTCTGATTCAGTAGCCTGAGATAAGACTTGAGAATCTGCAATTCCAGCAAGTCCCCACTAAGGCCAATGCTGCTAATGCAGAGATCACACTTTGAGAAAACTGCCATTCACTAACCCAATGCTTCGGATTTCAAAAATTTCTATGACAACTTTACACACATTTCTTGAGGATCTCTAGAGCACCGATATCTGACAGAACTGCAATAATGGATACATTTTATATAAAATACTGTCCAACATGGCAGCGACTAGCTACACGTGGCCCCTGAGGGTATGTGACTTAAGAACTACATTTTACACTTTATTTAATTTTAATTAACTTAAATAGCCACATGTGGCTAGGAGCTACCATATTGGACGGTACAGCACTGAAGGCTCCTAAGGAGCCAACCAGAGAGGAGACAGGAGGAGGAAGACGACTTTTACATGAGTCTAAATAGCAAAGCCCAAGATTATGCACATAAGATCTGATTTATTTTAATCAAAAAGGCTTTTAGTATTTTCAGTTGTGCCCAGAAGTATGTCCATGACATATTAATTTAATGTCCATGGCACATTAAAAGAAGGAAAAAAGTTTTTATAACATTAGTGAAACCACAGAGCCTCACCCATTTAGCAAGAAAAACAACAAACCATCAAGCTCATTCCTTTTTACCTTTTATTCTCCTGGGAATCACAGTCACCCAATCAGGTCCACTGGAGTTGATTGGCATTTTGATATTAACACCACTTTAGAAGGAATAAAGAGAGTACAAGCTTAGATTCAAGAACATTTATTTTCTAATATGTATCTTCATTTGCAAATAAAAAAACAGGTATGATGTCACAGAATCCTAAGATGAAATATCCTTATGTTAATCAACACAATTAATTAATAAACTAGGTCTCTTATAATAAGGTTATATAGATATATAAAGCAAATAAAAATTAAATAGGTTTTTAATTTTTCACTGCTTAGAACTGAGAGTATAAGCTCCAAAATGACAAATTCTGGGCTGAATTACTTAATCCCCTTGGACTCAGAAAATGGCTCACACTGATGAGAATGTCACTATCTAATTTTCAAGCTACAAATCCATGTAGAATTAAGTCACATGTCAGATTCCTCAGGCCTTGCCCAGAACAGAGAGGAGTCTCTACTGAAGATACTTGTCCCCAGATATGTGCTCTTGTAGTACTTTGTTCATCATTACCATGTCTCTGAAGTGCCTCCTTCTCAAACATACACTCCTCAAAGACACAAATTGTGTCTCCCTCACCTTTTGTCTTCAGCACTTAGCACAGACCCTGGACTAGAGTCCATGCTTGGAAAATATTTGATGGAGAGCTGTGTGAAAAAGTGGGGGAGAGTGGAGTCCAAGGGGAAAGTACTGAAAACTTGCTATAACTATTCCAGAAACTGGGTTATAATAATTACCTCCCACGCTTAGACCAAAAACAAACAAAATAAAATGCTAACTTTCCAGATTCTTTTTTTTTTTTAAGATTCTATTTATTTATTTGATAGAGAGAGCGAGAGAGCACAAGCAGGGGGAACAGTAGAGGGAGAGGGAGAAGCAGGTTCCCTGCCAAGCAGGGAGCCCGATGAGGGGCTCAATCCCAGGACCCTGGGATCATGACCTGAGCCGAAAGCAGACGCTTAACCATCTGAGCCACCCAGGTGCCCCCAGATTCTTTTTAATCTTATTTATTTGACAGAGAGAGAGTGAGAGCACAAGCAGGGGGAGCTGCAGGCAGACGGAGATGGAGAAGCAGACTCCCCACTGAGCAGGGAGCCCGATGCGGGGCTCGATCCCAGGACCCTGAGATCATGACCTAAGCCAAAGGGCAGACGCCTAACCAACTGAGCCACCCAGGCTCCCTGGAATTAAAATAAAAGAAAATAAATAATTCTTGGGGCACCTGGGTAGACCAGTCTGGACCAGTTTTAGCTCAGGTCATGATCTCAGGGTCATGAGACTGAGCCCCAAGTCAAGCTCCCTGCTCAGCGTGGAGCCTGCTTAAGATTCTCTCTCCCTCTCCCTCTGCCCCTCCTACCCAACATGGTCACTCTCTCTCTTCCCCTCTCGCTCAAATAAATCAATCTTAAAAAAAAAAAAAAAGTAATAATTCTTAAGCTTCTACCATGTGCCTGGCACTGTCCTAGATGTCAGGGATCTAACAGTATACAAACACACAGCATCTCCTTCATGGAACTGCTAGTCTAATGGGGGAGAGAAATAAAAAAAGAAAGTAGGAAGGCAGTACAGTTGATCCTTGAACAACATGGGTTTGAACTATGCAGGTCCATTTGTGCATGGATTTTTTTCAATACAGTACAGTACTGTAAATGTATTTTCTGTTCCTTATGATTTTCTTTTCTCTAGCTTACTTTACTATAAGAATACAGTACATAACATATGTAGCATACAAAATATGTGTTAATTAACTGTAAGGGTTCCGGTCAACAGCACAATATTAATAGTTCAGTTTTTGGGGAGTCAGAAGTTAGAGCAGATTTTGGACAGACTCTGCAAGTGGATGGCGCCGTCCATGCCCATGGTTTTCAAGGTTCAACTGTATCAGACACTACATTAGAAAATAGCTTAAATAAGTGGCATTTAAGAGAGGACACGACTTCTAAAACAGCATAAATAAACCACTTTCATGAGAGAGCCTTGAGGTAAAGAAAAGAAGAAAATTTCCCCTTTGTAATTTTCCTGTAAAAAATGTTTAACCTCAATTTGGTCATGGAAAAACAATAAAGCAGCAAATCCAAACCAAGGGACATCCTACAAAATGGTGACATCAGAATTCTTTTTTTAAAACACTTTTTTTTAAATACTTTATTTGCTTATTTGAGAGAAAGAGAGAGAGAGAAAGCATGAGCAGCGGAGAGGCAGAGGGGGAGGGAGAGGGACAAACAGACTCTGCTGAGCGCGGAGCCCGACACAGATTCTTAATGTTGTAAAAAACAAGCTAGAAACCTCTTCCAAATTAAAAGAGATTAAAGAGGTAACTAAACACACTGTATGTGTCATAGGTTAGATTAGTTAAAATAAACTAAAATAAATAAGTAAATCTTTTTAAAAAAATAAACAGGGGTGCCTCGGTGGCGCAGTTGGTTGAGCCTTTCTAACTCTTGGTGTTTGCTCAGGGTGGTGGGATTGAGCCCCGTGTGAGTGTGGAGTCTGCTTACGATTCTCTCTCCCTCTCTGTCTGCTTCGTGCTCTCACTCTCTCTCTCCCTCAAATTAATATATCTTTATAAAATAAAAAAGACAGCCATAAGGGACATTACTCGGACAACTGGAGAAACTTGAGTATGGACTGTGTATTAAATAACAGTATTGCATCAGTGATAAATGCCCCCAGTGTGGTAAATATGCTCTGGTTACATACTGGAGAAAGTCCATGTGCTAGGAGATGCACACTCATGGGGTGCAACACATGATGTCTGCAACTTAATCTCCAATGGTCAGGGGGGAGGAATTATACAGAGACATACACATATATAAACACACATACAGAGAGAAAGCAAATGTAGCAAAACAGTAACAATGGTAAATCTAAAAGACTTATTCATTTCATTTTTGTTCATTTTTATTTCATTTTTATTATTCTTGCAGTGTTTCTAATGATTTGAAAGGTTTTTTTAAACACAAAGTTAGAAAGAAGAAAGATATTAAATTATGCTAAAAATACATGGGAAGCTTTTCAGGTGAGAAGCTCACTCTTTCAAAAGGCCTTCTTCTGGGGCGCCTGGGTGGCTCAGTCGTTAAGCATCTGCCTTTGGCTCAAGTCACGATCCCAGAGTCCTGGGATCGAGCCCCGCATCGGGCTCCCTGCTCCGCGGGAGGCCTGCTTCTCCCTCTCCCACTCCCCCTGCTTGTGTTCCCTCTCTCGCTGTGTCTCTCTCTGTCAAACAAATAAATAAAATCTTTAAAAAAAAAAAAAAAAGGCCTTCCTTTATATTAATAAGATCTTTTAAGCAAAGTACTGTTGTTCTTTCTAAAACCAACATTTTTTTTTTTCGTTAGGAGTAAAGAACTAAAGATTAGATCACTTTAATTGTCCAACTGTAATTTAGGGAACAAAAGACCAAGGCTGTTTCTTAATCCTTCCTGAATTAAGCAATGTTATGAGCCACCAAGGGAAAAAAGTAAAAATGGGTATCAGCTTAACATATGCAGGCCATGAACTTAAAACGGTACACTCAAGGACACCTCAAAAGATCACTTCCAATCTTTGCTTTTTCTTTTCAGTTAGCTGGTGCAAAATGTCAGAATTTTACAGAGAAAATAATGCAAAAAATAAAATCAGTATCAGGACTATCAAATGTTTGGTTTCCAAAAATGCCACCTCAAACACTATTTTCCCAGCAAACTTCCAGGTAAGTGGAGTTTCTTAATGATTCTACTACTACAAAGTGATTCTACTGCAAAATGCCATCAGCCAGCCTTATCCAGGATATGCAAGTAAGGACAGGGACATACACTGTTTCATCCTTCACAATTCATAGGTGTTTTCTGGTTTTAATGGTAGGATTTGGTGTCAGGAATATTCTTAAATTTTACAAATTCTCTAGCCCTTTTCCCACTTTTTTCCCACATGGAATTTCAATAAGTTACAAGCTATGCTTCCTCTTTTTTTGCTAAGCCACTAAGCGGACTGACAACACAACTCTAAAAGGGGGGTAACTGAGCAGTCTTCACACATTGGCAAAAAGTACACAGAACTGAAATAATCTGCTCACCGTCACTGATAAACAGCTTGTCTGAGATCGAACCCAGGATAAAACTAAAGCTAAAGTCCTTGTGTACTGAGTTTCCTGTGTATACTGAAGAACAGTACAGTAAATACTTTGAGTAGTGCTCCCTCTGCTGGCCTTCTAGCAGCCTGGCATGAGTCCACCAAATGTGTATTTAAAACTGGTAGGACCAAAAGCTGACTCCAGGAGAAGTGAAAAATCAAAGGGCTTTATTGCAGAAGCTTCTGTAGACTACATACCTGATGGTAGGCACTTTTTCCCCATTGAGGAATGAGTGGACGTAAAACATAAAATTTTGGGGGGTTGCCTAGATGTACTCAAAACTACCTCTCTACCAGTGAGTATTTTTTAAGTTATTTATTTCCATTAAAAAATAAAAGACACTTTTACATTCTTCCAAATAATTGGACTTCTTGACCATATGGCTTTCTAACTTTTCTTCCTTAGGCATGCTATTTTACTTCAGAACTACGTGGGATGTTGACAAAAACATTTTAATTCGAACTGATCCCATACATTCTATTCTGCACACTATTCCATATCTTGATCATTATGCTGAAAGAGTTTTACACTTATGTTCAAGAACAGAAATCTGTGCACAGCAAAGCAAAAATTTCAACAACTATTAACTTAAAAAATATAGTTTGCTGTGGTATTCCTGGCCTCCCGTGTTCATCATTAAATCAACCCAGCAATGTTGTCATAGCCATAGTCTTTTTTCTATCAATACATGTTTATATGATTTTAATAACTGATAATATGCCACTTAAATTTTTTTTTTATTTTATTAGACATGAAGCTAAACCACTGGCCTGACTACAAGACCTCTAGTTCTTAGATGATTTTTTGATCTGTTCTGTGAATAAGTGATCTTTTTTACATAGCTATAGATATGCTCTGTAGTTCTAAAGTAAAACATAAGGGCAAAAGGTCTTTAATTTGAACTGGAATAAGCTCTTAGCTTCACTTTTTTAAAAACTATTCACAAGGAGGCACCTGGCTGGCTTAGTCAGTGGAGCATGCAACTTGATCTCTGGGTTATGGGTTCGAGCCCCACATTCAGTGTAGAGATTACTTAAAAATAAAAAGAACCTAAAAAATGAAAAATAAATAAATAAAAACTATTCACAGAATATAAATATTTATTTTCTTATTCACTACCTCTCCCAAATTGGGCCAACTTCAGAGAGATATATGAAGCAAATAACCAAAACAAGGAAGTCTCCTAAATGGGACGGTGTCTCCTAATTGGGACAAAAAACAGTAGAAAAGGACCCTTAAAATACCCCCTTGAACAAGACGCACGTACCTCTGGAAGAAAGCGTTCTCTGCAGCCGTTAGAAGGCCCTTCAGGTATCCACCTTTGAAATGGTTAATTCTACTACTGCAAGGGAGCTTCTTTGGTTTGAAACAGAACCAGGGTTCTCCAGTGTAGAGATCTGTAAAGTTACACAGGGGCAGACTGCCAGGAAGACACACATTGCACTCCGTGGTTTCAGAAATTCTTCCTGAACGGAACAGACTCTTGAAATAGACCCTGTGTGGTTTCTCTTCTTGTAGGTGCTGAAGAACTCTGATCCCTTCAGTGGGGTGGACGAGAGATATGGACACTTTAACTTTGCCCGGCCAGAGCAAAGTAAAAAAGACCTTGTAAAACCCATTCTGGTAGTCTACCACTCTGCCCACAGCCCCTGCTTGCAGCTTTGGGGAGTGGATTCTGGCCTGCAGGTAGTCTCCACCATATTTCTTGGGCATTCTTTGAAAATCCTGTACATGAACCAGCACTTCTAGCTGGCTTCCCACCTTGAAGAAGGCTGCAGAGTTCAAGATAACAAAGTAGCTGGAAGAAGGGTCAGTGCTCTTCAGAAAGGGGACTGGACCCACATCAGGCACCTGCCACTGTAAGGCAGCCAGCAAGGAGTCCTCCTCCATGCGCTCCCGGCTGGACAGAGTCTGATGCTCATAGCCACAGTAAGGATTCCGGCTAATTCCTGTCACCTGGGAGGAAACAAACTGTCCACTACTATCGATGAATGTGGCTGAAACAGTCTCATGGTCCAAGTACTGAAGAGAAAAACACAAAAACAGAAACCACAGACAGCTGCAATAAAATTCCTTATATCAACCAAATATACCTCTGTTTCAGTTTAACTTTAAAAAAACTACTTGGGATGACATTGGTTCAAAAATCAGAGTTCACTATTTTTACAGGGTGATATATCTTTTTGTAACACAGTGAAATCAAGATGAGGAATAAAGTCATAGAAAGATCCCACACACTTCTATGAATTTTACCTCCAGGAGCTCAATCAGGTTCCCACAGTAAATATCAGTAGAAAAAACTCTCATGCTTCCAGCAAAATAAGAAGAAAAGGAACCATTTGGAAATACAACAGAGCATTCTGTTCTTAACAAGGTCTGCCCTCAAGAGAAACTATTTTACTAGAGCCTAATCTATTGGGGTTTTATCAGCACTTCACCAAACTGGGGTAGGAGACATACCCAGCTAAAACCCATTCTAACCAATTATCCAACTTAAGGAGTGTAGTGCGAGGACTGAGAAGCACTTCTGAAGTTCATAGCCCGGTAGCAAGGGCTCACTAAAGGACTAAGACTTACCCATACGACTATAAAATGCTTCACCTCCCCCACACCTCACAACTAAAAGTTTATTTATCAGAGTTCCTTTTACCCAGTATATCACATTCAGCTTTCAACAAAAAACTGTAAGACATACTAAAAGGCAAAAAACATAGCTTGAAAACACAAATCAAACATCAGAACCAGACTCAGATATGGCAGGGTTGTTGGAATAATCAGACCAGTAATTTAAAACAACTATGATTAATATGCTAAGGCCTCTAAGGGAAAAAGCAGACAATGTGAAAGAACAGATGGGCACTGTAAGGAGAAAGATGGAAATTCCAAGAAAGAATGAAAAAGAAATGCCAAGAATAGAGAACCCAGAAATGGACCCTCAACTCTATGGTCAACTAATTTCAACAAAGCAGGAAAGAATGTCCAATGGAAAAAAGACGGTCTTGGGATGCCTGGGTGGCTCAGTCAGATAAGCGTCTGCTTTCAGCTCAGGTCAGGGTCCCAGGGTCCTGGAATCACACCCCGCATCAGGCTCCCTGCTCCCCAGTGGGAAGTCTGCTTCTTCTTCTCCCTCTGCTGTTCCCCCTGCTTATGCACTCTCTCTCTCCCTCTGTCAAATAAATAAATAAAATCTTTAAAAAATAAAAAAGACGGTATCTTCAACAGATAGTATTGGGAAAACTGGACAGCCACATGAAGAATGAAACTGGACCATTTTCTTACTCCATACACTAAAATAACCTCGAAATGGATGAAAAACCTAAATGTGAGACAGGAATCCATCAAAGTCCTAGAGGAGAACACAAGCAGCAACCTCTTTGACCTCAACTGCAGCAACTTCTTGCTAGACACATCTTCAAAGGCAAGGGAAACAAAAGCAAAAATGAACTATTAGGACTTCATCAAGATAAAAAGGTTTTGCACAGCAAAGGAAACAGTCGACAAAACCGTAAGACAGCCTACTGAGTGGGAGAAGATATTTGTAAACGTCATCAGATAAAGGGCTAGTATCCAGACTCTATAAAGAACTTATCAAACTCGGGGCACCTGGGTGGCTCAGTCGTTGGGCGTCTGCCTTTGGTTCAGGTCGTGGTCCCAGGGTCCTGG